ACTCATATCAAATGTGCGCGCGTGTGTGTGCGTTGAATGTACCTACAACAAACGCTTGCTGCTCCATCTTCTGTCATTCACTTCCCTAGGAAACCGTTCACGTGTGAACACAAACAGTCCGCTTGGAGCGAATTGTCGTGCATTTTCAGGAAACATACAACTCGTGACTAGTTTTTCCTAAAATCACATCGAGGTGAGCCGACTTGCTACTTTGCAGAAGGTTTTGCAGTTTCGACCAGAGTAGAATGATCTTGGTGAGGTTGCAGTCAACTGAATTTACATTTCACCAAAATTCAACCAATCGACTCTTCGTACAATTGAGTTTAGTGTGCGAAAGTGGGCATTATGGCTGTGGTTGAGGATGTTGTTAATTTCGACAGCCGCTAATCGCGCGTTTGGGAATTCCGTGGAGGGTGTTAGTTACATTACAAAAAGCGCTACACTGTATCGTTTTCACCAACTTCAAAGGGGCTGCATTGGACAAGCATCATCGTTGGCAATTCCGACTCGGTTATTCAACAAAATTGTACCGAAATTGACTGAGCAAACGCGTCTGTGTTCTGACCATCAAAATTCGGTCGCAGCTTTGTGACAACCGCTGCCTTTTCGTCGTGTCTAATTCACCCACCAGTGCCAACTGAAGTGGTTTCTTCAACACCTTCATTATCCCCATCTGCATCTCCTCATTTTGCGTCGTCTCCAAACCAATCTTGATTTGAGAAGTCGCTTTATCTGTCAACTCTCACTGGCTATCCATCACTCATGCCTCCACCTTCGCAGTCATTTACTTCCCCCACTGACTAAGTAACAGCCAATTTGTTGGGAATGCATCGCACAACCGCAGACTAGATGTGGATATTTTAATTAACACACCTTGTTATTAGTGAAACAGTGTGTTTTCGCGAGTGGAGAATCGAAAACTGCAAAATGGACTCCAGAATATGAAATCAGCCAATCGGTTTTAAATAAACGGGTGGACGCATCATTGATTGGACCAAAATGCCACATGAAATGAACTGCAAAGTGAATTATTGATTTTCAAGTCAGGAACAAATTGGAAATCAGGTTTTGGGGGGGGGGAATTCAAATCCACGCCAAAACCTAATACATTTATAGCAAAAATTTTCGACGAAAGGGCGGAAACTAGGCTAATTTGTCGTCATCATCATCAATGTTATCTTTCGAGTCATGACCAATCACGATGCGAGGCTATCCCGACAACGCAATCGATTTCTTGAACTGCGGAAATTTTGAAATCGGTGAATTTGTCACTCATCCACCAACCACAGCCATCGACGGTGTTCGGCAGGCGGTGGTACATGCGGAATCGCACTGGCAGTTAATCTAATTATGCATTCCGGGGTCTGGCAGATGTTCATCGAGAAATCACTGCGTTAAATGCAAATCTACAAAACCGACTCACCCTGCCGGCAGTGTGACTAACACAGCCACCTGCGTCGAAAGAGTGAATTAGACGTGATCTCTGATTCAAAGCGATTCAGCACTGCTCACAAAAGCGCCTATTTTTAAAAAAAAACGCTGTCGGTAAAGCGTAAACGTCTAGTCCTCAGTTTGCCCGTCAAGATTGATGTTGTTGTTGTTGTTGGTGGTGGTGGTGGTGGTGGTGTGATTTTAGCTAAGTGACTAGCTAAATCACAATTGAAGTCGACACTGAAGCAAAACACGACTGGTCACGGATATGGGATGGCTAAATTGCAATCGACGCAGGACCTCGGTTGACAACTTTTGCACTCTGCAGTTGAAGGAGAAGACGAAAATGATGTAGACGTTGATGTGTATGAGTCAGTCAAAACTACTGGTTCTGGAAAGCCAACGTGCTCGCCACTCCTCACCTCATCAAAACTGGGTCGATGACGCTGTACTGAAACCACACCCGTTGCATGCATTCCGGCCTGTTTATTTGCTCTGCCTCGATTTTAAAAAAATCGCAGTTCAACCAACCGGAAAGCCGCTTTACATAGGCGTTTCTTAAGCCCGTTTCCGGAGAAGTTAATTCAACTGAAAACGAGGAATCTGCTGTGCCGTGATTGAACATTATGCATACTAGACGCTGGACATCATCTTACTAGATGGAAGGACTAAATGCTGGTGAAGGCAGTGGTAGTGGTGTCGGCATAGTTGGTGGTAATGGAGTTGACGATGGTGGTGGTGGTGGTGTTGGAAGTGAAGAAGGAGTTGGTTGTAATGGATCTGGTGATAGTGGTATTGTTGGCAGTGGTAGAGGCTGTGATGGTGACGTTGATGGTTGTTTTATTGATGACGAATGTGCTAGTATTGGCAGTGGAGGTGAAGAAGGCGGCAGAGTTGCTGTTGGAGGTGTTGGTATTGATGTCGGTGACGGTGATGGTTGTGGAGATTGCAAATTAAGACTATCTGATGAGGAGATTAAGTTTCCAAATTACTGCACAACGCAAGTCAACCTCTGAATGTCGACAAAACCACGCATTTTAGTGGGTTTCTCTTCTGCACGAATTCCACAACGTGGTAGAATCACACATACACACTCACACACACAAAACACCACGCCTGTGTGAAAATGAAAATTAATGACCCGTTTGTTCTCGTTTGCTTGGCAATCGTGGGTGGCGTGAATTCGTGTCACTAGCACAACCCTCAACACGACAATTAGCCAGAGAAGCACACCACTCTCTCACACGACTTGGACGATTTCTCGAGGCCGTGGCATCATTTAATCTCTCGTCTCCAGCGAAAAAAGGACACTAATCGTGCCAGTGCAGCAGCAGAAAATGTAATTAGAAATTAAAACATCCACGCCGACGGTGACTATTCGTTTTTCACTCCCTCATTCAGTCAAGTCGCCACACCCCCACCCACCCCCTTGAAACGTCCGAGAGCGCGCGTGCGCAATCTCAGGGCGGTGTTGAAGGGCTGGCACGCACACCTCACCCCACCCCATCCCACCCCCCTCCCCCTGTTCACGACAGTGTCGGGCAATTTGTGTGTGTGTGTGTGTGTGTGTGTGTGCGAGGGAAGGAGCGCCAGCAGCGTGTCATGGGCACCGCCACACACCCCCTACCTAGACAAACTCGCCCAATTTAATCACCGGCATGGACAATTCTGCGGAGCAGCAGTGGACTTGCGAGTTCACTGCCTACTGTTTGTATCGATCCTGTGTGGTTAGCCCTGATCTTCGTCGGTTCCTTCCTCTGATTGGTGGAGGCGGCCAGCACTGTTACATCACTCTTTCTCATCCAATCACGTGTCTGTGTACAAAGGGCGTCGTAGCTTATTGGCTGATCAGCTGGATGAAGCAGTTTGAGCCTTTGGAGATGAGAAAGGTCATTGGCTCAGGGTGGAGATGATGAAGATGCTGAACCAACCAGAATAGTCGATTTCGGAAGGAGTGTTGTCTTGGTTCAACACCCTGTCTCTCTGCGCTTCCAAACTTCTAATTTTGCACCAGAAAAAACAACTTTTGAATCTCCGCGCCGCGCGCATTCTTGACGAAGCAGCTGTTTCCGTTTCGTACAGTCGTGCTGGAGTTAAAAAAGGGGGGTGTCTGCCGACAGGAAATCGTCAAAAATGGCCTCTTTCCCATACCCCCCCTCCGGTTCGGACTGTGTTTGGATGGAGGAGAACCAACGGCCCCCCAAGACACACTCATCTTCGTCCACACTGGCCAGAGCCCACGCCCAGGGAGCCGTATTTGAGTTAAAAGATGATTAAAAGGAGAGGTAGATGCTATTACCGTCTCCTCACGTGCTTTGCGGTTGATGGTGTTAAAAGCAATCCCGCCCTCACCACCGCCACCACCACCACCTGTCCTGTCCATCCCCCCAACACTAAACACGTCCACCCGTCTCTCACCTAGCGAATCGCTGCTGAGTCAGATGTTTTCGTGTGATGCGAGAATGAAAGGGTGTCTGTGGCAAGTCCCCTCCCCAATTGATTTGGGAGCAAAACACACAATGATGTTGTGATTGCAATCGACGGTTTGGTGTGCGTGTGTGTGTTGTAGTGTTTAGCGCTGCCACGATGACTGATGTTATCATGAAAACTGTTGTTTCATTTGCACGACAAAAAATACTACCAGAGGCACACGTGTAGGGACGAGACGGGACGGCTATGTGAACAATTTGTCCGATTTCTAATCCACTTATGAATATGTGAGCTCACACCAGCACAAAACACACCCCCTCCCCCACCCCTTAAGCCCCACTTTGACCAGATTTTGGGACACCGTGATTGGCTTTCAAAGTTACGCAAACGCTGTGTGTGTGTGCACGCTTGCATTCGTCGGTAAATACTGCTCTAAAATGCGCCGAGAGACGTTCTCTGTGACATTCGTTGAGACAGATCAGATCCCCCAGCGACAGTGGAAGTATCTCCATCGACAATGGAAGACCTCACTCTTCAACTGTCTGCCTTGGCACGCCTCGTTGAATCATCTTTGTGGCTCCTTCGTAACCCACTCGGGTCGTTTGAAGGGTGTTGACGCAAAAAAACGCCATGTGGAACACGAAGGAGAAGGCGGTATTGCGAGGTTCTGCAAGGCACAACTGCGAGCGGTCAAAAAGACTGCACACATTCAAAAAGAACCGTCCAAATTCGGTGTAGTTGGGGAAAAACCTTGCCTTGACAAAAAACTGCGCTAAATGTGACAACGTGTTTGTGTGTGGAAACGAAAAAAATCCCCTTGGCGCGTCTTATGAAAGTGGGCTTTTTGTCCCAGCAGCACACTCTACAGTCCAGCACAGAAATCAGGCAGTGGTAGGTTGTACATTAGCACAACTGATTTTCACTGGCGACTAGTGTCCTTGAACTATCGTTTGGTGTGCTAGATTCTGACTTAGATGATGGTACAATCGAGGAATTTCTAGTGATGAAGAGTTCCACGTTTAGTGGCACTCTCACAACTGTGCGTTTACTTGCAGACCACATTCACGGTGACGGTTCTGGACGTGAACGACAACCCACCCTACTTTCCAACCAATCCCCTCACCGTGACAATCTCCGAGGACGTCCAGGTGGGCAGTCTCGTGACGACACTCAACGCAAGCGATCCAGACCGCCCCCACGACCTCCAGCCAATCATCTACTCCCTTCTCAGCATCACCGCCTTGCCCAATCTCCACCCCATGACCCCTGTGAACAGTACTCAGTTTCGACTGGAGGGTCACACGGGTCGTCTCTTGCTCACCGAACCGCTCGACAGAGAGACGAATCTGGAATACCAGCTGACGGTCAGGGCCACAGACCGTGGCAGTCCAGAAGCTCAATCGTGTGATCTGGCTCTTCGCATTCAGGTCCTCGATGTCAACGACAATCCCCCGGTGTTCGGGAACCCCTCGGGTTACCGATTTGTCATTGAAGAGGAGAAGGAACCAGGATCGGTGGTGGGGGTTGTCACAGCTACCGACGCTGATGAAGGCGAAAATGGGAGAGTTTCGTATCGTCTGTTTGGCACATCCGTAAGTCTGGAACTAGAGCTCATAAACTCAGATATGACACATTTCACCTATTGATTGTATGATGTGTGCGTGTGTGTTGGTTGTCAAGGCGGCAGTTCAACGCGGCTTCGTGGTGAACCCAAACACTGGAGAGATCACAACCAAGGTCGTGTTGGACCGCGAGGTCAACGCCGCCTACGAGTTCTACGTGACCGCGGAAGACTCAAGCCCGTCGAAACGCCTCACCGCCACCACGAAGGTTGTCGTGGAACTCCTCGACATCAACGACAACGTCCCCAAGTTCATCTATCCAACACAGCCCAACCACACCATCCACGCCTCGGCGTACAGCAAAGTGGTAAGTCAACTCTAGTCACCAGCAATCTTTGCCCGTTCGGTTGTGTGCGGCTGTTGTGATGGTGTTAGCGCGTCCACAGGTAAATGTCACGTGTAGCGAACACCAAAAATCCCATCGCCAGAATGCATTTACGCGCGCGTAGAATAAAATGTCATCGTGCGTCGAAGCAGCTGAATAAGGCTGTCATCGTGTTGAGTGTACGTGCGCGTCCGCCGACAGTTGACAAGCGCATTTTTCATCAAGTAGCTGTCGCTGAAGGCAGGGTAGCCAGCAGATCTTATCACTGATAGGGTTACTGCGCAGTGAATCTCACTTCCAACCCAATTCCAATTTGGCAGTGCTGGCATCACGCGCGTCTGATCGATTCACGACAGACTGCTGGTAGAAATTTTGCCATTAGTAACTATTTTCCATTACTTTCAACTTAGGTACAAGAGTCACCATCACGAGAAACGGGCAAACACTTATCACTAATGCCCTCAACCAGTTTGAAAAGCTTGGTATTCAATCTGACAATTGCACATTTCTCTTCAAAATGCCGAAGCAGTCAAGTTGTTTACACCTGGCGTCCTCCAAGTGGGTTTGAAATTGCGGGTTTTTGGCACACGCAGTGACAATGGACGCATTGCTTATTTATGCGGAGCCCAGCGTCCAGGTCAGATGTACTCATTAATTATTTGCTGGCCCAGCTTAGCGACAAAATACGAACAAGTCGTAAATCACACCGCTGAAGCTACCTGTAAAAATTCCTAAATGAAAAACCAGTAAAATTTGTCGAAATCCTACATGTTCTTCTGTGTTGCAACCACCGTCGCTATTGAGTTCGCTCCTCGCTTTCTTACTGGTCACTGTCATCAGGCACACACATCTAGAGCTCCAGTGAGAAGCACACAAGTGTAACTCTGATTGGCTAGGCGTTGCCATGGCAAATCTTACCCCGTCAGAATTAAATTATTCCATGAGAAATGAGAAATGCGGACCAGGAGACAATTGGACCACGGTAAGGCAGTAAATCGCCACACGACAAATCGCATGGCAACTGCACGCCACACGCGAATTTTGGCACCACTCTTAAGACATTGCGAAGCGGCCGAGGTGGTGGTGGTGGGGAAGGGGTGGGGCTAACCCAACGCCAGGCCTGCTGACTAACATCGGTGACATTTCAGATTTTGTCCGTTCCGCGTCTTCCCCTAACACACACACGCGCGCACAGGCAGGCAGGCAGGCATGAAAGCTTAATTACTCTAGCAGCGCGTGTTGACAGGCCCTAGTCGTTGGCCTCCCGAGGTTGTCTAGCGTCGAACAACACCGCTAGGAGGCAGGTTTAGGATCACAGCTGATCTAAATTGAGAAAAAGTGGAGATGTATTCTAGCATACACCCACAGGTGAGCAGGTGAATGCTGATTGGTTGTCGGGAGTACTCAGAGGGCGCCTCCACCGCCGTGCTGATTACCTCCGGCGATAGCACAGGCGGTGCCTTTAAAATGGGCAATTTTCTGGCGTTGGTTTGTTGTCTGATTGTCCTCTCCCCCCACCCCTCAGCTAACCTGTACTGCAAAATGGTGAGGTGGTGATAACATCGATGCGGACAAGTCCACTACGCACATGGGTGATTGCGCATTTTGTAACAAAACTTTACTGATCGCTGCCGCCGATAACGCCTGGTCGTTTCGGCTGACAATCGGAGTACTTCAAACGGTGGAACGAAATCTGTTGTGCACGCACGAGATTGCCCTTCTACTCTCTTGGATGGCACTACTTGCCTGGTTTTCGTGATTTTTTGAGTGTTAGAAATTGTATTGCGTTCCATCTGCCTGTTATAATGCGAAAATAACGAATCAACAAGGAGTAAACACGTGTAATTCCAGTTTAAATATACTCTGTTAGTCTTAGTGCTTAAAGATTTACTTTTGTGTGGAAATTTTAGACCTTCTGGTGAACGCAATCTTGCACATTTTGGGTTTGGGACATCTGAAAGCCCTAAGAATGTCCTTATTTTTGTGAAGTTAATTTTGAAGGGCACCTGGCAACGTGTTTTAATATAGCCACGAGCAAATTACCCCTTTCAACCCAAAATGTTTTTGACATTTTGCAAATTAGTGACCTTGTGGCGTGACCTTGAGATGACCTAGACGGAGCATCCGTGTACGAGTTGATGAACCGACCTGTCACCGTCAAAGTGTGTCTATTTGAAAGTTGAGCGCAACGGCAAAAATGCTGGAAATTTGATCTCGTAATATCGCGAAAATTATAGCTGACAAACTTCTACGAACAGGCATCTTTTGATAAAAAAACTCAATGAAAAATTGCCGTGAAAAGTCCAAGATTTTATTTGTCTACAGTCGAATGAAACCTACTTAACAAGTTAGCGAATGGAGACTGGACCTGATTTTCATTGGTTACGTGGCGAGGGAATTTGTGGAATTTTTTCTAGGGCACAGCGATTGTGAAACTGACGGTGTTCGACGCAGACGCTGCCGGAGAACAGGGCCTACTGTTTATCCTCAAAAATGCAACTTCTCCCGGCCTTTTCACGCTGAACCCCAGTTCAGGAGAACTCTCCTTCGCGCGAGAAATCTTGGACGAAGACATCGGCAGTCATTACCTGGAGATAGAGGTATGTCTGGCGTGAATACCTGTAGACATTCGGTTGATAAAGGTAGTGGTAATCGATAAAATTTCGTGCTTTGTAATAGGCTAAGGACAACGGTGTGCCCCCACGGTCGTCGGTTACTTCCATCACCGTGGTAATCGATACAAGAGCTCATCAGCGTGCACCTGGCGCTACCAACTCTGGACTTGACTACTCCAACAGACCCGCCTATTCGAAGGCCTGGGGATCCAGAGCTGAGCCGGCCTACCCCCTCTACGGACAGGAAGGCAGCGGCCACGAGGTCTACTCACGTCAAGACGGCTCCCCGCCAGCATTCGATCGACGCCTAATCCTCATCTGCTGCCTCGCCTTCCTTGGATGCCTTCTCCTCGTGGTGTTCGGAGCCATCCTCATTCGATTCAAGCATCGCAATCCCCTCCACGACAACGAGGCTTCCACGAATTCCGTGAATTTCGTCCACGCCAAGGAGGCTAAGTACCGCGCCGCGACGCTGCAACCCCAGACGACGCCAGTCTCGGCTTTCGGCGCCTCCGGAGTGAAGGATGCGGGTCGATATGTGTACGGCTGGTCGGCGCAAAGGTCGCCTCTCATTGCTTCGACGACCGCCGCCCCCCAGCATCGACTGCTTCCAGACCAACAGCACCAGCAGGAGCAATTCTTCCGCATGGGATTCGTCAATAACCCCGCAGCAGCAGTGACGATGTCTTCGGCTGGGAACGCCAACTTTGAGAGGTCTACGAGGGGCGATTCCATGCTGCAGGTAAGAAGAAAGTGTTCTAACATGATATATGTCAAATCAATCGCTAGACGATGTGTCACGGCGGTTGTGGAATTCTTGGTGGTTATTTCAATCATCGAGATTCTTCAACATCTGGAAGGCTCGTCGACTTTTCCACTAGTTGATTGAAATGGAATTCAGTGGCGAGATGCTAATCCATTTCCTAAACTTGGAGTAGGTGATAATTGTCCATAAAAACTGCCAACAGAGTCATTGCCGCCCCAGCCAATGATGTGATGGCAAGAGTTGTGCGCGGGCGATTTAAAGATCGTGTGTACATGGCGGGATGAGCGTAAAATCGGGTCAATTTGGAGGATGGAACACGAAATTTTCTCTTGTTTGTAGGCGAAAAATCGATCGAGCTCCCTGGGAGACAGTCTCGAAGACTACGAAAGGCCTCCACTTCCGATGAATGACCGTGCAAATTTGTACCTCAGCCAGGGCCAAGTGAACAGAGCTGGAACAGTCTGGGAGCCGCGAGCAGACCGTGGACTCAACAACTACGAAGCAGCCGGCGATGGAAGTGGATGTAAGTCCAAAAAATTGGTTATTTTGAAAAAACGTCCTTTCCTGTGTGTCTGAGCACGTGGGTTACGCGACCTAAAGGATAAAGGGAACTTCTACAATTGTAACAATCGATAATTCGACCTGGTACCAGAAGCCTTCGAACCAATCAACGTCCTAGGCGACATTTGGCTTTCTGTTAGTGAATTCCATTTCTGCAGCAGGAATGCTTCGCTTATGAGTCACTTCTGAAATGCAGGAGTGAGAGACGCACTTTTGAAAAAGCCGAAATTTTCTCTCAACCTTCTCCCATTTGGTTTCACGGTTGACTTGGTCGCAGAACACGCATGAACAAACACCGCATGCATTCCACATCATGTGAAACATTCTTTCCCGTGTAGATATCACCGCCTCTTAGGTTCCCCTACCACTCTAGATTTGCTACAAGAAATAACGAAATCAAAAAAAAACTCGTGATTGGTGACTGTAATGCCATCCAGTCATTGATTGAGACAAAATCGATAACTTGTGATTGGTCACTGTAATGCCACCCAATCATTGGTTGTGTAAAGTGTCAAAACGACACGAAAATCGGTTTGATTTTCGCACCAAATTTAAACAGGCACATAGAAGTAAGTAATTTTTCACGGCACATTAGTTCCTGCAATAAAACACACGACTTTTCATACCGTCAAATGCCAGCGATTGCGTATCATGAGGGGGCAGAAGATCTAGTTCAAATTCTGGTGAGTTTTTTTGCAGAATTAGGTGACCTTTCTGGGTTCATAAAGTTCGTTTTTATTTGTTAGAAAAATGCCTTTGAAGATTGATCAAAATTCTGCTGATGGCGCGTACACCAAAATGCCAGCAAGAACTGGTCTTTAGACGGGATAAAAAGCAATCGATTGAACCAGAATCGGTTAAAAAGAGGTCCAGAGCTACATTTTAATACGTGTCGTCTATTTCGAAAAAAATCGGATATTTTCGTGACCATGCATGCCACAGAAGTCAACAACCAGCAATCACACGCCTCGCTTAAGTGTGAATCGTTCGAATTGGCTAAATTTTGGCTGACACGCACTACAACCATGAAATTACTTAAATCTTGCGCCAAAGCGTTTTTTTATCCAGACAAACACGCGCGCGATTTATCATGGTGGGTGCGCGTAATCTACCCTGACAAATCGGCCACCACATTTGCGAGTGGGTTTCCACTGCAGTGAGACGAATTTTGATCACCGCGACAACCGTCAACATGGCGCTGCCCAGGAACGCATTCGAAACCGTTCACACGTGAACTCGGGTTTCGCGCGATAACATGCAATTCAGAATATCGGCAAATTATCGCCCTTCCAGGTTTTAGGTTTTCATGTGGAGACTGGATAGCCTCCACCATGCAAGAGATAACTTTAGGAAACCGAAAAATGTGCATTTTAGATTACAACAAACTCAGTGCAACCAGTGGAGTCATTCTTCAACCGGGTGCGTACATGCAGGGTGGAGAGTTCTTTCATGAGAACTGTGACGAAAGCAACGGCGAACCCGATGCCTCCGTGTTCCTGAGATCCGCCCGACCAACATCCACGCGCAACGCCGGCTACCAGACGCTTTCCAACGTCTCACCGCAGTCCTCCTCTGACGAAACAGCCAACTTCTTCGCTGACGCCCCACCCGGTGCTCTCGAACGTGCCGACGACGCGACAAGGACTGCACCACCCCCACCACCGCCGCAGCCGACGACGGCGACATCAGCATCATCATCGTTGTCGTCATGGCGGAAGAATCTTGGCAAAAAGGGCATCGTCAGCTCGTCGTTCGTCTGACGATCTGTCTGGGCATTTTCGCAGGTCCAGTAGTTCTCTTCGGAGTGTCCCTAGTTGCCACTCTTCCGCCTCCGCCCAACCCCTTCCTTCTCCTCTTCGACATTAATGTCCCTACTAATAGCACCATTGTATCATAATTCACCCTTTCTTTGCTATTTATTGATTAAATATGGTTCGCACCAGAAGGTGCTGCTTCTACCTCGAGTGCTGTGTCATAGGTACGTAATTTGACCAAATCAAAGTCATGTCCAATCAAAAATCGTCATTTGGCCAATAAAAACGAACCTAGCTCTCAAGGTCATCAATTTTTGAAACGCGCGCGGGAAGTGTTTTGGTGAGAGTTACCTGTCCCTTTCTTTCAGTTTGAATTCCTAGCGATGTGCGTTTTGACAAAAGCCCAGAAAACAATAATATTCTATTGTTTCGTCAATTGTTGGTCCCCATTCTTACAAAAGACACCAATGTTCACACAAAATCGCGTCTCCCTCTCTCTCTCTCTCAGCCGACAACAAATTAATCCTGCCTCCCCCCTCCAAAAGGGGTGTTGCATTGTTCTCTCCGTGTTGTCGAAATTTCAGTTCACATATCTAACCGCCCAACTACGCTGATGCCAAATTCTGTTTCGTTTTTGCCTTCATCATTTACGCGCAGCCCATTTGCAATATTTTAGGGTGTGTACCGCGTTATGTGTTCTGTGGAGAGCGGGTCGCGTTGTTGGCAAGATTATTTCTGGCAAAAGTAAGATGATGTGGCTAGGCAGACGCACACGCCTTCTGGACAGCGTTCGAGGTCATGTAATCTTCACAAATGTGTCGAGCATGTCAGAGGTCAACACGACCGTAACATGCCAACGCCAAGTAATGCATGACATGGCTTCTAGACCATAAAAAAGCGTGTTGCCAGGAGGCGAACAGCGTGTGATTGAACGCGGCAAACTTCCAAGGGCTTGGGAGTGATTGATGACGTTAGTTTGGTGTGAAAAGTGGAATTTTCCCTCCCACCCCAAGAACGCATTAGTTTGGTGAGCTGTAGCGTGTCCTGCAGGGCAAAGAAATCATTCATTTCACCAGTAAATGATTTTTGACTGCAATTCACGAAGTTCAAAATGACAAGATTGCAGCAAATCGACTAGAAGAAAAAAAATTTTGCAAACTACCGAGCCAGCCGCGATTACGATGCGTTGCTAGGGGGAACTACCCGACTTCGCACTTGCTGGTCTACTGTAGTACAAATTTCCGCCAATCAAAAATAGATTGCGTTGCCGGAATAGCCCCGTATTTTGATTGGTCATGACTCGAATGATAATATTGGCGAAATAAGGTAATAGTTTTAAACAAATTGCCACACCATACAAAGACTTGTGATTGTCTCTTTGTAGTTAAAAGCAAAAAGGTGATGTTGTTGATGATGATGACGACTATGACTAAACTTAGTTGACGCCTTTTATCGCAAATTTTTGCGTTTCTGGAAAATCGATGCAATAAATTTATTGGGTTTTTGTGGGTTTGAATTCCCCCCCCCCCAAAACCTGATTTCCAATTTGTTCCTGACTTGAAAATCGATAATTCACTTTGCAGTTCATTTCATGTGACATTTTGGTCCAATCAATGATGCGTCCACCCGTTTATTTAAAACCGATTGGCTGATTTCATATTCTGGAGTCCATTTTGC